GTGGTTGTGATGATGAAAGAACTTCCATAAGTACTGTGTCAGTAAGTGTGTCAGTACTGTGGTCTTTTCTGAAGCCTAACAGCAAACTAAGAATTAAGCATTCTAGCTCCTATTTTACAAATAAAGAAAATGAGGCTCACCGAGGTTAAGTGAGTTGACCAAGGTCACACATCAGGATAAAAGGCAGAAGGGTCCCCCAGTTCTGTTTGACTCTAAGAGCAGCACAGGCCTTGTGTTAGGGGTCTCACATGGCCACGCCCCTGTGGTTCTCTTTATCCCTCTCTCCGATGGTGTTTGAATACCTAATGCGCACTTCGTGCTGATTTTCAGCTCTTTCATAAGTCAAGAGACAGTACAAAAGCTTTTGAGAGTCTGGCTTTAAAAAAAAATCTTAAACATTTTAAATATATTTCAGAACAAAATAGCATCTTTAAATGGGTCGAGAGAGAGTACAAAGCATCAAAGAGCTCGCGGTACAGCGTGTGACTTCTTGGAGCTCCATATTCTTAACTGTCAGATTTTAACAAATACTTCTGTAGATAATTGCTTAATTATTATATCTGTCAAGAAAAAGCCTTTACAGCCATCAAGTTCTGCATATAAAAATACCCTTTAATCCCAGACTTTGAAAAATCACTCCCTGTGATTGCAGCAAGGCAGATCCCGGTGGCACCTAATCATTCTCAGACTCCTAAGGGTAAAACTGGATGGAGGACAAGAGCGCACAGGGGGAAGTGAGTGGAAGGATTGTTCTCACCTTTGTGGAGTCCCTTTCATCTCGTGGTTTGAAAAATATATTTAAACCTTCACAAAATGGAAGCAGAGATGTAATACAGCCTGAAACATAACCATTTAATAAAGTAATGAAGAGCAAGGGAAATTAGGTTCTGGATCAGATAGGCAGTGCTTGCAACTCAGCTTTGATGCTGTCTCTGAAATTTAGTAGAAACTGCATAAACTGAGACAAAATTTAGTTGTCTGTTGCATGGAAATATCAACATCCATCCATAAGACCAATGAGAGGATTAAATAAAACAATATATTAAAAGTCCCTAATGCTGTCCTGAGCACTTACGGGGCTTCCAAAAAGTTACATGGTTGATACTTATTACTTGAAGATTCTATACTTGCAAATTCATCTACTTGCTGAAGTTTATGTGTAACTCCAAAATCAGTATTCGTGGTGGTGCTGTGGTCATTCACAGTGATGAAGTGGTAAAGTGGTAAAAATAAATAAATAAAATTGTCACCCGCCATGAATATCCCCAGCTGAAGTGGACAAAGAGCTAGCGGACAAAGAACTGTCTGCTTTTTTAAGCTCTCACCACAGAAACAAGAGTCCCTTCTCACCATCTATTTAGTACCTCATGTTTTAAATATCTGTGCTTTGCTGCTCAAGAGGTCCCCAGGCCTGATATTGCAATGGTGCTTATATTTCTAACCCCAAGAAAGCTGTATCTGTGCCTGGTAGAAAATATGTGTGTTAGAAGAGCTCTGATCATCTGTGGGTCACAGTGCTATTGGCCAGGAAATCTGTTAGTGTGTTCATGCCCACCACAAATGGAGTAATACCCACCCACGTTGGTGAGGGAGATCTATCACTTAGTCTTCATATTCAAATGCTAACCTCCTTCACAAGGAACTTCACGGGTATAGTCAGAACTAATGTTCCACCAGCTATCTGGAATCCCTCAGAAGAGGGTACTCCAAAACCTCCATTGCTTAGCACAACAGAAGTTTATTTTTTTATGTATATAAAGTCTCATGTATTTGGCAAATGATATTATAAAAGGCAAGTGATATATATTATATCAGAAACCCATATTCTTTTCATCATGTGTTTTTGACATAGGGGATGTTGCTTTCCAGCCAATGGATAGAGAAAGAGAGGACTCATGGGTAGAGAGTCTCTAGGAGCCAGCCCAGAAGTATAGCACATTTCTGCCTTCATTCTATTGGCCAGAGCTCAGTCACATGTTTATAACTACTTGTAAGGGATTCTGGGAAGTGAAATCAAACTATGTGCTGAGGGTTTTTTGAATAACCCTGCTGTAGTTTTCTTAAAGGTATTTTCTGACAGTTGTTTTTCCTTAGGTAAATGCCAAAACTCTGAGGTAAGTAGCATTTCAGTTTAAGTTACTCTTCCAAACTCTTTCCAGCTTTTCACCAGGGAAAGTGAGTCTGCCTCCTCTGATGTGTCATAGTTAAAAGATGAGGTCCTTACATAATGACACCACTCTATATTCTCTTATTATATTAATACTTCACCCAGCCCTGCTGTAAATTTTTGCTGCCTCATAGAAGATTATATAAAGAATATACCTAAATACCTTCTATGAAAGAAAGTGTAAAAATACAAATAGCTGGTAATTTATGCTTGTTCCAATTAAATTGTGGACTCACATTCAAGTTTACTTTAGCATTCAGCCTGTAGGAAGTGAGCTGTGTCTGACCTCATGCTATCATATATACTAGATTGTGGATAAAATAACATTGACACTATTTGGACCAAGCATCTGCAAAACTTTGAAATAGCTGCTCAGTTTTACTGTGGTTTATGCTGAGGGCTCTGAAGAGTATTTTTCTCATTCTTTTTGTTCTTGTCAATATCAAAGAAAGAGGCAGTAACAGTGACTATAAGGCCCTTTCTTATAGGGGAATACTTTATAAGGAAAGGGAGGTCTTGTTCAATGATCAGCTCACATATATCCTTGGAACTCTTACAAAAGCTATCATGGACTCTTTCCCCAAAATGCTGCTCTGACATGTATATTTTATACCATTGCCAGGTTTAGAAGATTCTGTATGCTACTGAAAAGAGGCTGGTACCATAGAATCCAGCTCTGCCATACCTGAGTATAGACCTAAAAAAAAATTCAAGGTGGGCATAGTGGCACATGCTTGTAACCCTAGCATTCTGAAAGGCAGAGGCAAAAGGATCAGCAGTTCAATCCCAGCCTGGGCAACTTAGCAACTTAGTGAGACTCTCTCTCAAAATAAAAAATTAAGAGTTCAGTTTGAAGACCCTGAGTTCAATCCCCATTACCAGAAAGAAAGAAAGAAGGAAGGAAGGAAGGAAGGAAGGAAGGAGAGAGAAAGAAAGAAAGAAAGAAAGAAAGAAGAAAGCAAGAAAGCAAGAAAGCAAGAAGGAAGGAAGGAAGGAAGGAAGGAAGGAAGGAAGGAAGGAAGAAAGAAAGAAAGAAAGAAAGAAAGAAAGAAAGAAAGAAAGAAAGAAAGAAAGAAAGAAAGAAAGAATAAATCAAGGTCTTACAAAGACATTTGTACCCTGGTGTTCATAGCAGCATTTTTCACAATACCTAAAAGTGGAACAACCTAGGTATCCATGAACAGATGATTAAACAAAATGGGCTCTAGACACATAAAGGAAAAATCAGGAATTGTAGATGCTGCAATGTGAATACACAGAAATGTGCTAGGTGAAATAAACCAGGCTCAGTCACATATTGTGTAGTTCCACACTACATAAGTAAGTTATCTAGAACACTAAAAATTCATAGGTACAGAAAGCAGAATGAAAATTGCCAGGGGCTTGAGGATGGGGACAATGTACTTATTGTCTAATGGATACAGAGTTTCTGATTGGGATGATGAAAAATTTCTGGGAGTGGGTGGAGGTCGTGATCGCATAATATTGTAAATGCACTTAAAGCAACTGAATGGTATACTTAGAACAGTTAAATGTTTGCCACAATAATTAAAATCACGTTGGAAAAACTTTGAGCCTTTAAGAGTGGCTTCCAATCCCAGGCTTGCCAGTTACTAAGTATGTATGACTGGTCAAAAAACTTCATGTCTCTGCGTGGCATTTGGTTATCTGCAAAAGTGGGCTGTTGCTACTGACCTTAGAAGAGCACTGTTGGGGAAATTAATGTGATTCCTGTCATATAGTAGCCACCATGTAAAAAAGTAAAAGAACTAACATGTAAGCAAAATCCCATGGAATATGTTAAGAATAAAATGTGACGTTGCATAATACTGTTTTTCACTTCTATATAGGTGACAATATTTCATGGAATAATACAAATGTCCTAGGATGTTAAAGACAAAGACACCGATCTTGTCTGGCTCGCTAGAGACAGCAAAAACACAAAGTCACTCCTGCCTAAGTCCAATGTTTATTTCAGTCTCTATTTAAATTGTTTTTAGTCTCATGTAGGTTTTCCTAATTCTTGTGGAGTTTTCATTAATACAGACTTTCAGCCCTTGTAGTGTATTTTGATGAAGGTCCTAAGACACAAATTTGCCAACACACACACGCACACACACACACACACACACACACACACATTCTGCAGAGAAATACCACATTTACCTGGAATTCAAACATCCCACAATATTAACTGGTTGAATCAAAGCCCCGTTTGCAGAATCTTGCCAAAAAGACCTCTCTAGAGCAAATACCAGATAGAGAGACTGTGCAGAGGAGAGGTGGCATGCCCTACCCAGAATGCTCTGCAGAAGCCAAGACACAGGACAGCAAGGAAAGTCAGAGCTGACAGGAGAGGAGGCAGGAAAATGACTAACGCCCTGTGTGAGCCTTGCTCGAGGCTGGCGTCATGAGTAATGTGGAGCCTGTGACATTTAGAAAAGGTTACATTTCATTTGATTTCTTGCACTTTGGAAGATGGGAGTCTATGCAGAATTCATTGAAAATAATAAAACTACAGGTTCAAGGCAAATGATATAGAATTCAGTTATCTTGAAAATTCATTATATGATGAAGGGTAGCTATTTATATGTTCTATTTAGATGGAGACACAAATAGCTAAATTCTTTCAGCTCTATCACTTAAGTTTCTCTAGAATCTGGCCACTTTTATCAGTCGCCAGCACTTAGCACACGACACTCACGGTGGACACTCTGAGTGAATGGATGAGTGAGTGAGCTAATGGACAAGTATAAGAATGAAACTATCTACAGTATGCGTGTCTGCAAAACGTGTATTTCCTGTGTATGAGCAGAGGCATCCAAGGTTAAAACTCTCCCTTTTCTTTTTTTCAGAGCAGAAACGACTCTCTTGGGACCATTTATTAGCAAGACATACCAACACTGTGACCTATGCCGGTACCACCACCACCACCGCCTCCTTTGCCTCCACCTCCTCCTCCCCTGGCAGCCCCTCCCCCGCCATCAGCACCCCCGGTAAGACCTGTTTTTTTCTGTCCGGCCTACTGTGGAGCATCAGCTCACTGAATATGCTTGTCAAAGGGTTTTCCATGTTCACAAGCAGCACTGCCTGGCTCCCCTGCGGATCTTAGGTAGCTGCCTGTTGGCCATGTCGGAGTCTGATTTCAAGCCAGCCTGGCTCAGCTACATCTGTCCTCTATTCCCTGGCAGCTCCAACGTCCATCTCATCAGTCTGCTGATGTCTACATCACTTCCCCTGTGAATCCTGCTGCTTGGTACAGGCTTTCTGACTCTCTCTTAGTAATTTTCCATCTCGCTAGAGGCCGCACATGAGAAACCATGCCAAAGTGCACAGCTGATGAGGCGTTGAGAAGGCAAGCCCCAGTGTGTCATTTGAAGGAGAATAGGGATAACCTGGGCGTAGTCTCCTAGGTCTAGGTTTAACCAAGCTTAGTGTCCTGTGAAATGCCATAGTGAAATATAAATCGCTAGCTGAAGCTACACAAGACTAAATTCAGTCCTCATCAGTTGGTGTTGCCTGTTGGTCATTGTGGTCTTCATAGGTTGGTTTGGGTTTAGGAAATCACTGTGAGAACAGATATTTTGTTTTAGGATAGAAATTCACAGCCTGGACTCACTGACATTTGGGAGCAGGTCATTTTTGTTGTAAGAGGACTGTCAGTGTTTTAGGGTGCTTAGCAACATCGCTAGCCTCCACCAACCATGTACCAGTAATACCAAGTACAGCAGTAAAAAGTGTCCCAAGGTATTGCCAAATGTCCCCTCGTAGGGGATAAAATATGTAGACAGAACAGGAATACATAGTGAAGTTTCACTGCTGAATTTGACCTCAGAAAGTCAAATTTACAATCATCACAAGGTTATTGTGAAATGGGAAGAAACTGCTCAAAAGAAAGAGAAACTGGAATAGAGGAAAGGAGAAAAGAAGGAAGGGAAAAGGAAAAATATATATATTAAGATAATTATACTACTAATTTCTATTAGTTCATTGAAAAAAGAAGTTTGTGCTTATATAGTTTGATCAATTTGTCATACCTAGATCTTGTAATATGAGCAACTACTTTGAAGATAACAATACACAATGTACTAACCGTTGTTACTCTCCTACAATTATGTTTTGAAATTTTATATCATTGTTTTTATTATTTATTTTTCTTTTCTTTAAAATAAAAAAAATGTTTAAAAATCATCACAATGTGATGAACAATCTATTACTGGAGGAAACACATGAAATTATCATATAGATCTTAAACAGATTTGATAGCACTGAAAGTGCAATTTATAATACTCTCAAACACAATGCTACAGTTTTAATAGCCAGAATAAATAAACTTATTGAAATTCATGTTATGGGAGACTTGGAGAGATACTATCTTTTAAATATTGCTTGTGATGCACAAATATCCGGGGCTTCGCAAATGATGAGCAGGCCTTTCTGAGGAGAGTTCTCTGACAGAAAACAATAAACTTGTAGGTAGTGTAGTGTTTCCCATGGTAATCAGGTTGTTTTATTTTGTTTTGTTTGTTTGTGTGATACTAGGTGTTGAGCCCAGGACCTTTACACTGAACTACATCTGTAGTCTTTAAAAAACTTTTTTTTTTTATTATTTTGAAACAAAAATTACTGTCTCACTAAATTACAAAGTTGTCCAGGCTGGACTCCAACCTGTGATCCTCCTGACTCAGCTTCCCAGAGTGCTGGGATTGCAAGCTTTTGCCACCACACAGAGCCAGATAGTTTTTATTTTTAAGATCAATTTGAGAATTTAACTCTGAAGGAATCAGAATTGATACAGTGATGTGCACAACAATATTTTTATACTAGTGAAAATTAAATGTATTACACTATGCTGTTAATTAAAAATTGCATTATGTCATGTTGTTAATTAAAAATTACATCTATGTTGATTATGAAAAAGTAGATATAAAATTATGAATTAACAACAGATCTTTTGTGTATAATGAAATTAGCTACATGTAGCATATCATAAATAGCAAATATCAGAAAAGAAATTGATAATGCCAGTAATAAAATTTAACATTTCATTAAGGAGTTCACTAGGGAGTTTTTCCTTAAAAATGCTAAAATTCAAAATAGTTCTAAATTTGTTGATGTTTTTCTTTACCTCCCTTATTGTTTTCCATCTGTCTTGTAGAGGAACAGGTTAATCCTGGCAATGTAAATAACCATGTAAATTTCAGTATTCTTTTGGAAACATCTTTTTCTGCAATCTGGGAAAATATTTGCAATACATATTAAAGATAAAGAATTAATATCTTTAATGTGGAAAGAGCTCTTACAGATCAGTGCATAACAGTTGTATAGAAGGATGGGCACGTCAAGGAAAAGAACAAACATTTTGGCCTTACTACAGTTGAGTAAATGCAAATTAAACTCCAGGTTGAACATCTGTAATCCAAAAATTTGAAATCTAACATGTTCCAAAATCCAAAACATTTTGAGCTTCAAGTCAGTGTTCAAAATTTTCAGATACTGGATCACTTTGGATTTCATATTTTCAAATTAGGGGTATGCAACTAATAAAATACATGCAAATATCTCAAAATCTGCCAAATCCAAATTCTGAAACTCTTTGCTCCCAGAATTTCAGTTAAGGCACACTCAACCTGTAATGAGAAACCATTTTCATTTATCAGTTTATTAATGATACATTCTCAGGTATTGCTGGACTGTGAAGACCCAGGCTCTTATAACTCTTACTGGGAGCAAAAATTGTCATAATTCCCTAAGGTCAAATCCTTTAGAAAATGGATATACTCTATATGACCCAGTTTCACTTCAAGCAATTTTTCTTTAAACACCTAATTATAGATGTCTAAGTATATAGCTATAGAATATTAATGGAAAACATTACTTGTAATAGCAACCAAAACAGAAAGGAAACCATCTAAATTTTTAAATGCAGAATATTCAAGAACTAGTTGTACAATTCACAAAGTGATATATGAGATAGCCATTAAAAAACATATCCAAACTAGTTTATAACTTCCAACATAAAATTGTTCTAGGTAAGGACTACCCATGGAAGCTTAAATTGCTGAGTGAAAAGTTGTTGGGAAAAAGAATATTTTTTAAATAATCCTAACTCCACATGGAATCAGAAAAGACCCAGAATAGCAAAAGCAACACTGAGTGAGTAACAAGGGCAAAGAAGGAGGCGTCACAATCCTGGATCTCAAGTTATATTACAAAGCTAGTGATAAAAAGCAGCATGGTACTGGGACAAAAAGAGATGTGGATCAATGGAACAGAATAGAGGATGCAGAAACAACTCCAGGCACATTCAATTACACGATCTTTGGTAAAGGGGCCAGAATATACACTGGAGAACAGATAGCCTTTTTAATAAATGGTGCCAGGAAAATCAGCTATCCACCTGATGAAGATCTGGCTATCCAGATGACTGAAGCTAGATCTGTATCTCTCATCATACCCTAAACTAAAATTAAAATGGATCAAAGATACAAATGTTAAAACAGAAACACATACTGTGCTGGAAGATAAAATAGGTAAAGCTCTTAAAAACATAGATGTAGGTGAGGACTTTCAGAACACAACCCCAAGTGACAAAAAATAATATCAAGAACCAAAAAATGGGGAAATTAAAAAACTTCTGCACAGCAAAGGAAACAACCAAGAGTGAAGTGACAACTTATGTAATGGGGGAAAAATTGCCAATTACTCTTCAGACAGAATGTAAAGACTTGAAAATATTAGACCCCTAAAATAAAAGACCCAAGCAAAAATAGACAACTAAAATGAATAGACACTTCTCAGAAGAAGAAGTAAAAATGGCCAATAAATGCATGAAAAAATGTTCAACCGCTTTGGCCATGTGAGAAATACATATGAAAACAACACTGATATTCTACCTTACTCCAGTAAGAAGGGCTATTATCAAGACACCAAATCATTACAAATTCTGGTGAGACTGCAGGGAAAATGGAACTTTCTGCACTGTTAGTGGGAATATAAATGAATATAACCACTATGGAACACAGTACAGAAATTCCTTAAAAAACTAAAAATAGAAATCCCATTTGAGGGGCTGGGGATTTAGCTCAGCGGCACAGTGCAAGTGCAAGGTCGTGAGTTTGATTCCCGGTACCGGAAAAAAAAAAAAAAAAAGAAGAGAGAGAAATCCCATTTGACCCAGCTGTCCTCCTCTGGGTTTCTTCCCAAAAGAGGTAAAGATATCATATACATATGGTGATGCATGCCATGTTTATAGCAACACAATTTACAGTAGCTAAATCTTAGAAGTGGCCTCTATGTTAATCAACAGCTGAATGAATAAAGGAAATGTGACATTTATATACAGTGGTATATGAATTCCCCACAAAGGATAAACTTGAGTTATTCATAGGAAAGTGGATGCACCTTGAGACCATAATATTCAGTAAAATAAATCAGACACACAAGCTTAAGTATTGGATAGTTTATCATATGATAAACCCAAAAATAAACAGCAAAATAAAGGACAGGTAATAGAAATAGGAAGATAGATCTTTTTATAAATGAGAGGGAAGCCAAGAGGGAAGGGAAGGGACGAGGATGAAAAAGGTGTTGTTTACATGTACCAACTTCCCTCAAGGAATATAATTATGTACTGCAAACATGTACCAATAAAAAATAAAAACTGGAAAAAAGAAAGGGAATGTTCTCTGGACCCTAATCATCACTCACAGGTTAATTCCTTTGTGGGGAGAGGTACAGATTACTTCTAATTACACAGCTGGGAAAGTCCCTTACAACAGATCAGACTTAGGATCTCCCGTAATGGACACCCTTACATCACAAGTCCTTTGCTGTGATGCAATGAGAAATACATTGCATCACCATATAATAATGTGCCCCAAATGAATGTTCTTATTAGCAAAATATTAGACACATCCATTCAGCATGCGAGGCATTCTGTGATAAGGGCTGGAAAATTGGAGCCCATGGCTCAAATCTACCTCTTCCCTTGGTT